TTTTTAAATGCTATAATCAAAATAAATAAAACTCAAAATAAAGTTTCTTATATCCACTCTCTTTAAATTAATATATTAATCATTCTAACATACACTAAGACTTATAAACATATTATATGTTCTAACTAATTTTTACATACTATAAGTAATTACAGTACAACATCGGCTTGAGATTTAGAATAACATATGAAATTTTTAGCCAAGTTCTTATCAATGTATTCCTTGAATGCAATCAACTTGTTTTGTAATAGGCTATAGATTGGTCTAAATGGTGGTTGAGCTCCTTTGTGAAGATCAATAGAACAATCATAAGAACGATGCTCTAAAAAAATATCTACATTCTTCTTTTCAAAAACATCATGGAAATCTTGATATTAACTAAAAATATCACTTGACGTCTTTTCACCATCAAAAATAGGCATAGCATATAAAACAAAAGATAACCCTTCTTTTGTGACATGCATAAAAGCTCTCGCACCTACTAGTAAGGATTTAGATAAACTATACTTATGTATTCCTACTTGACTTACGAGATTTTGAGTTAAAATATCAAAAAAATAAAGGTTATGAGAAATCCAATCTATCTAAAGATTATATTCTTTTAACCAAGATAATCCTAAAATAATTAGACTCGACAAAGATCTTATTACATTAAATATTACTATATTATTATGATTTTTAATTGCTACATCTAAAAGAATAGTCTTAAGTGTAACATCTTTAGAAGATAGCAAACGACCATCTATGACTTTTATATGTATAGGTTTAGCTTCTTTAACTAACGATAGCTCTTATTTTTGATAAAAAATTTGTCTATAAAACAAGCTGAGGCTCCTGAATCTAACTAAGCTAAGACTTTGTGATTTTTTGGTCATAAATAAACTTTTATTATAAAATAAGGTAAAGGATCTAAAGAGAAAATAGGACTTTTATGAGGAATTATACAAGATTTTAGCTGCATAATGCCTATTGTAGCTAGAGAAACTTATTTTTTGACATGTTATCTTCTTTGGTAATCATGCTTCTCATTTTGTAGTTGTGTTGTTTCTTTGGATAATATTGAGTACTGTGTTTAGTTTTTCTACAATATAAGCATAAGCTCTCTTGATCTTGTTGAGTCTTTGCCTACTTTCTAAGGAATTTAAAACATATTATATTAATTTACATTGGTTCTGGCCTTGATGAATGTATTTTTGAAAACTTACAAGCTACCATTATTATTTGATTTTTTGTTCTCTAGCCAAGTCTTTATTCTTCACATCTTTCAAATAATTGATTATTGCATGCAATGGCTTGAGCAATAAATTATTCCAAAGATTCTACCTTTGATATTCTTAGTAACAAATCTTTGACATTATCCTTCAATCCATATTAAAATTGATTGATAAGAGCTTTGTCATTTTAGTCTATGTCGCAAGTGAGGTTTTGGAATTCAGTAGCATATATAGTAGCTGACCGTGATCTTTATTGTAAATATAAGAGTTTGGTCTCTTCTACTCTTTCTCAATCACTTTCTTTGAATGTAGCTATAAACACTTCTAGGAATGAATTCAAATCATAAAATGGTTACAAATATTTTTTTATTAAAAGTACAAACCAAGAGAGAATATTCCTTGATAGGAGTGCGCTTATGAATTTGACTTTAATAAATCCATCATAGTATTGGAAGAGATGCAATTTTAGATAGAACTTTACTTATTGTAGAAATATTTGAAATTTTGAACTTATTCCATCAAACTTCTCATGCATACTAATCCTTATCCCCCTCATACTTGTAGAAGCAAAACTCCTTAGATTTGGTTGTAAGGTCAATCTACTTGCTTCTTATAATTGCACAACTTCTTGTTATAGACTTTGAACTTCTTTTATAGGCATAGGAATAGTACCTCTATGATTTATGTTAGAAATATGTGAGATTTCTACTCTCAAAGTGTTGAAAAGCTCATGATAATTTGTAATAGTTGCAAATCTATTTTCACTTCTATTAAGAGTAGCATCCATAATCTTTTCTTCCATAGATAGTTCAAATAAGTTGAAAAGATTAAATTAGAAGAAAATAATTTGCAACCTCTAATATCAAATGAAAATTTCTACACAAAGGGGTAATCCACTCTTTTTAAGAAAAAGATCAATGTTAAAAAACAAGATTATTTTTTTAAAAGTAGATAGTTTATAATCTTCAAAATATAACAATAGAAATGGGATAATTCACTCACTTCTAAAATAAGATAGAAACAATAAGTTAACACTCTTCTCTAATTATCAAAGATATTAATTTCAAAAAAAAAAAAATCTTCAATACATTCTTATGACACTGAAAAGAACTAAAAAGTCACACAAAGATGATATGTTATTGAATTAGAATGGTTATTGCTAAAAACAAGAAGACTAAAAAGTCTAAAAAAAAGAATAAGAACTAAAAAAGCATTGATAAGAATCAAGAAGGCTTCACTCTTGCCTCCATACATACTCTCAACTAAGAGCTACGTGGCGATGTCCTATAAGACCTCTAAAATATGCTGACTTTGTAAGATACATATCTTAAATTGTAAGGTAAGTTTTCTATATGTATTCCATATAATTAGCTTGTTCTGCAAGCTACTAACATGTAGTTAACTTGTTGACTAAGTTTCTAGCCTATCAATCAACTACAAACACATGTTAAATCAAAAAAAAATTTATTAAGCTTCTAAGAAGCTTTTCTAAAAAGTATTATAAAATTTATTTATTTTTATTTATTTTTACCTACTTCTATTTAATGATATAGGTATTTATTAGAATATGTATGTATATTTGTAATACCAAATCATACAAAATTTGTACCAAAATTATATCCAAAATCCTAAACTTGACGACTCTAATCTTTGATATTTGAATGGTCTCAAAAAAATAACTCTAATCCCTATCAAGGCCTCAAGTAGTCTCCTTGAAATCCATTGGACATGGATTTTAGTCAATAGAAATGGAGATTTTTATCATTTATTTCTATTCATCCTTATGGTTGGCCTAATTATCCCTTTTTACACAAAAATCCTTCTCTAATATTTTTTCTAATAAGTTTTACATAATATGTGCTCTAAACATCAAATAAAAAAAAAACAAAATAAGATTTTAAGAGTCACCAATGTCTAATAAAGGTGGCTCTGACTACATTGTATAATAAATTATATATTAAATATATATATGTGGATTATTTTTACATGGTAGCTAAACCACAATACAACAAAATTGGCTTCTACATGTGCTTAAGAGGCTCATTTATCATATAGTAAACTAAGTTAAAAACTTCTATTTGTTCAACAACTTTCTACGTGGTGAGTATTTAGGATAGGGAGCGTGTGAATTTAATTAGAGTTGGATTGAATTGGATTTAGATAAAAATATATCAGATGAAGTTAAATTAAAAGATGAATTTTTATTCATAGATGAAAAATTATTCATGGATAAGAAGTAATTTATAGATGATAATTTATACTTGATTGATCTTTTATGGATAAATTTAAATTAATTAATTAAATTAAATATATAAATAATAAATAATAAATAAAATAAATATTTATAATAATAATAATTAATTAATCAAAATTAAGAGCTAAAAAGAGGAAAATTCATTGACATGTATTTTAGGAATAAATTGCAAGAGTGAGTTAATAGTTGAAGATTACTTAATATTTTAGATGTCTTAAAATTTTCAAAGAATGATTTAAATTAGAATTTAATTAAGAACTATAGTTCATTAAACTTGCATAGTTAATTCACTTATTATAATCTAGGATAACTTCCAATTAGTAGAAGTTTAATTCACTTACTTTTAGTGATTTAAAGAAATTAAAAATGAATGGATTGAAAATTAGATAAGAGCTAAAATTTCTAAAAATTCTATAATTAATTCATTAATTGTGAAGTAGAATAAACTTTGAATTAGTAGAGGTTTACTTTAGCTCACATTTATATAAGAGAGAAGATTGAAATGGGAGTAATTGATATGAAGTATTGTAAAATAGAAAACATCCTTGTTGATTTGCTAACAAAAGCACTAGTAAAAGATAAGCATCAGAAGTTGAGTAAGACTTTAGATTTAAAAGCCTCTAATCAATAGCAAAGTGAGATTATTAAAGTGAGAATAAGATATTATGTAGAATATATTATCTTAGATAAGTTATTAATGGTCAAAAGGTAGCAAAAGAGTGAAGATAAGTTATTAATATGGTGGCTAGGATTTTAAGTAGCAATTAGCTTAAGATGAATCTAGGATTTAATTAAATGAAGGAAAGAAAGATGAAAATGATTATAGATGAAGTTCAACTACAATAGACGCAAACTCCTCCTATAAGTAAAGTGTGTTGGAAGTGAGAAGTATCTCATTCCATACTTCTCTTGTATGCAACATTTTTGATTTCTACTTATTTGTGTCTTGCTTGTTATATTTCTTCAATAGCTATAAATATATATAACATGATTATATACATTACTAATTTTTTTTTTTGTATGGCTTAACTATAAATCTTTCATAAATAAATTCCATTAACTCTAAAAGTTTCTTGAACCATATAACATTTTCAAGCTAATATTAATGAAATAAAATTCAAATACTTTCATAGTAAGTAACAAGTTATATAAAAATATATTTTTTTTTAATTTCAAATTATTTTTACAATTGTATCAAAATAAAATAATAAATAATAAAAATATTAATAATTAGTTATTTTATGTTCTTATTGTAAAATTTTCAAAACTATTCTACATAAATAGTTCTGAATGTTGATTATTGAATGATTTCCTTATAACCTAAAATGTATTAGATTTAGTATTGTGCTTTTAGATACTTCCACAGTACTTATCCACGTTCTCGAATTCACATTGATATGTTGCGAATTGGAGTTAAAGGTTTTTATGAAGTTATCATCCATGATATGTCGGCTGATATACACATTCATCCCCGAATTTCATCCATCCAGACCTTATGCGACTCTTCCAACTTCTTATTCCTCTTCACACTCGGGGTTTAAGAATTAGGGTTTGGGGGAGCTGGAGATTTCGGCCGGTACATTTGATCACCATTGTGATCAATCACTCGGAAGGGTCTGAGGAATAGTGTTTTAACGCAGTTAAGAGCAGAAGATTGTGCCCAGATTTGTGCGTATTGTGTTGAAGAGGTGCACGGGTTGATGACTTGTCCGGAGTTTGTGTACGTTTAGTTTGTTTCCGCGGATTTGAGACAATTTGCGTGCAGGGGTGGTTGTTGCGGCCCGGTTCGTGTCGACATGGCTTTGTTTATGCCGAATGGAACGGATGTGCCGGAAACGGATGCCGAAAGGGCTGATTTGGACGCCATCCAAGCACTCAAGGAAAGCTCTGCGATTGAGTACAAGGTACGAATCTCTTGTCTCATAGACTTGCGCTTTCATATTCAGTTCGGCACCGTGTATTGTTTCACGTCATCTCCCGGGGCTTAAGTTTGATGCTCTACAATTCCAGTGCTGAAGGCGAAGTGAATCTGCACTTAAAGTTCTAGCTATAATCTGCATTAATTCATTTCTTGTTTGGAACCATTTGCTTGACGAGAGCCTGTTGTTGTCTAGCATGTAAAATTTGCAGGTTATGCACGCGTGGCTTCCAATGACTTCTGTGCTCCGCAAAATCACAACGTTGTGTGGTAGATATTTCCAGTTAGAGTTGCTATTCAATGTGGTCTCGGGTTCTACTTTTATAAGTATCAGCTTTATTCGTGTTAGAGTGGGCCTTAAGAGGTTTCAGCGTGCTGACTCATGATTCACGTGCTATCTGGTGTAGGAAGATGGTAACAAATTCGTCAAAATGGGGAAGAAGCATTATTCAGATGCTATAGATTGCTATACTAAGGCCATTGGTCAGAAGATACCAGATACACTGCACAATTCTGTGTGCTACGCCAACCGTGCACATGTCAACCTGCTTCTTGGTAATAATCGGCGTGCCTTTGAAGATGCACAAGAAGCAATAAAATTCAATCGAGCCAATGTTAAGGTGTGTTGAATTCAAATTCATTAACAAACAGTCACCGAATTGAAAAGGACACATTTGAACATTTGATGAATAGCCTGCACCAATCATCACGTAGAAAATGATAGAATTAGTACCGAGGCATGCTAGTGGTACATCGGTCGTTTACTATTTGTACACTGTTCAGGTTTTTCAAGGGTTAAACGTGTAAATCACATGTTATGCCGCACTACACCAGCTAACCAATTCATTAGAACTCTTTGAATAAGTGAACAAGCTAATTTTCTGTGGAATAAGGGTGCCTTCCATTCCGGAATCAGGTTCGGAAGGTTCTGATTTCCTGGAAACATCTTTTTGGTGCAGGCGTATTTCCGTGGTGCTAAAGCTGCGCTGGCTTTGAAGTTGATACCAGAGGCATTAGATATGGCTGAAAAGGGCTTGGAACTCGATCCGTTAAACACTGAACTCAAAAAAATTGGAGACCAAGCTAAAGCAATACATCATGAGGAAGACGCTAAGAAAAAGCGTGATTCAGAAGCCCTTGAAAAAGCCAAGGTCAGTTTCCAATGTTGTATCAACGTCTGTTTACCTTGAGTGCAAGATTCTGGTGAGCAACTTATGGTTCTTTTTATCGGAGTTTGAGTTTGAATTTTAGTTTTATTTAACTGAAATGAATGTTTACTTATTGTTTGAGATTGATTCTTTTGAGAATTGCAGAAATTGACCGCATTGTTGGAAGGAAGAACTGTTAACATAGGAAAGGCGACCTTCAATCATTTAACAGAAGGCCGAAAGCCATGGGTAGATAAGAGCGCCATGATTCATTGGCCAGTTTTATTCGTTCACGCGGAAGTGATGGTTTCAGATTTTATTGAAGACTTTTTTGAGATGGATACATTCGGCGGACATCTGGACATCATATCCTTTGCAATAATACTGTTCTGCTATGTATTCAGCTGCAATTTCTTTAACTGTGATGAGAGGGTGTGCTGCTAGTTTCTTTCTGTTAATTGTTTCGCTCCAAACCTGGTCCTGGTATACGCAACTTTTCAATTTTCGTGTAACTATATAGTAAAATGCTGTTCGGTGTCGTTTATTGAATTACGATTTTTTGATGCTTCGATTTCCTTAATGACTGAAACAATTATGGCGACGGTTCGCCCAGTCTACTTTGGGATACAAGGCATGAGTACACACGCGAACGGGTGGAGCTTTATTACCTTGTACGTAAGAACCTCATCTTTGTGTTTATTTCTAGCTTTAGCCCATTTCGGTTGGTTGAGTTGCGCTGAATGTATTATTCCTAATTTGTGTACGATCCTGTGGGTGCTTTTTAAAATTTTAAAATATCAACCTTTATTTTTTGAATTTTTTGAACTTTTTGAATTTTAAATCGATGCGGCATTTGTGGATAGGTCCTATTGAGCATCTGCAATATGTTTACCTTTATGTGTGTATGTGTCTGTTCCAAGGGAGGACCGTCGGAAGTTGACTTTTGAAAAGGTTCTCTCTTGAGAATAATCCACTCCATTGAGCGGGAACTTTGTGATGTTGAGTTACCGTTGCACAAAATTTCACAGGGTGTTTTTCATAACTTAAGCCGCAGTGTACTGTTGGTTTGTGGTGTAGTCCAATGCTGCAAAACCTCTCTCAAATAAACACGTTGTGCGCTGGCTGTTGGAGAATGATGTTGGACGACAATTTAAGGATGTGAATGATGACGATGACAGTGACGGTGATTATATTTCTTTTTTTCCGCTTCATTGGAAGAGATTGAGCCATTGTAGAGTGGTTACGTGTTTTGTGTCTTGAGGATCTAGTGTTTCAGTCTTGGTTTTTAGGAGCTCTCTTGTATCACTCATTCCTAAAAGCATCTGTGCTACTTGTTGCTATAGTTGGCTTGCATTCGTTCAAAATAGTACCATGACCTCGATGCATGGATAGGAAGGAACCGTAATACTACGTTTGTTCACAGATTACAAGAAGCAGCGGTGGGTTAAGGTGGATGAAAGGGCAACCTTACACTCAGTACTATCCCGTCCTGACCATATTATTTCAGGCATTCCAGGTATAACTTTTATCCTTGTGGGTACGCCTTGCTAGGATTCAATGCATTTGTAGTTGTGCAGCCCAAGAAGTGAAGCTTCAACAAGCCTGGTTTTTTTTTCCTAGAGGTGTCAGTTTCAGTGTTGGGCCTCATTTGTTGCTGATAACTGTTTCTCTTATTTCTCAATAAGACATACTAACATCGTTCTATCTTCGGTGAACTCAATTACACGAAGATCCACAAGTTGTAATTGGGTTGTCCTTGCGTTTATTCCATTTTGTGAAATGTAGTTATTCTCATTCATAATGTGAAGGCTATCGTGGCTAATAGCCAGGTCCCTGTTAAGTCTGTAGTTCTTGATGATAGAATTTATTGTCTATTCACCAACACGATGTGGTATGGTGTTTGCAGTGTTCTTTGTTGTTGCAACTGGAACAAGGTTCTGTAAAACATTCCTCTCAGGTGGATGGTCTATTCCGTGAGCACCAATTTCAAGATGCACAACCATTTGTCATCATCCATTGAACCAAGGCGTACGTTCTCACGACTGCACAGAACCACTTCAAGAAGCTTCACGTGATTTCGATGGCTTCGGATACGCTTCCTCTCAGCTTGTGAAGCTCACTACCTAGAGCAGCTATGTAAAGTAACCTTTAGGCATCTGCATCCATTGTTCTCATTAAATTGAAATCACTGTACACCAGTGTGAGAAAGTTTAAAAGAAACAAAAAAACAAAACAAGAAGAGTGACTCATCGTGCATTATGATGGGATTTGCAATGTTTTCAATTTATTGATAGCTAACTGAAGGTTAGGGGAATAGCTATACAGCCACTCGGAGAAACAGTATTCTCACAGCTCAGTTGCTGCGGGTATTCTAGAGCTCGACCAGAAAAGAAGGTTACACGCTGTAAGGGAACCTCGTTTCTGGGGTCTCATTGTCATGCGATATATGCAATCCTCGAGCTGAAGTTAATCAGCAAGCGCAGTGTTCCATCTCGCCATCTTGCCATCACACTAATAGACGAGAGGTGTAACTCATCTCTTTGTAAGCCCATCAGAACACTACGCTTCCAGAGTCATGTAATTGTTTCCACACTAATGTGATTGATACAGATTAGTGCATTGTGTTAGTTATATTTCACAGAAACAGGGAGTCTGGAGGGACAAAAAGCAACATAGAAAGGAAAAGAAAAATGGTCAGCACTTTGTCACGTGCTTGGAAGGTTGTGTCGTAGGGTCTTGAGCATTTGAGCCACAGTTTTCTCCCCTACTAATGATTCATTACTGATATGTTTAACCTGATAGATCCTCATCATCTGTTATCAATCCTGCTTGTTTTTGCACTATTTCTCCAATTGCGTACAGAGTTCAAACAGGAGATTTTTAAGAAGTGTGAGTTTGTACTCTAGTATTGGCATGGTGTATTGTGTATGTACAGGCAGGCACATATAGATAACCTGTTCCTGTCCACTTTTTGCAACACCTGACTCCTCATTTGTGCTACCCTACAGGAGTTGCTGGCAGCACTTGCGTCCCTAGTTTTAAGGGGTCAAATCTCAAAGTGCAAGAGCAGAGACACAATAGTTGTGACATGGTCATTTTTAATGTATTGCATAATGATTTGTGGGAACAACAAGTACAACCGGTTTTTAGCTTTCTATTATTTCCCCCCTTGAGGCTGAAAAAGAAAGCAAAGCATCGGACCTCTGAGTGTCCATACCTGGATGTCAAAGTCAGCCTTTGTCACTATACGCTGGTGAGTCACAGTTTGTCCTTCCTTTCGAAGTATCTGTCAAAGCTGGTGTTAAGGGAGGGGAGGGAGATCTTCTTCCCTTTCCATGTTTCATGTTGCTTGCCTGGGTGGCTCATGTTCCTCACCCAGCTCATCTGCCACAATTCATATCAAGCCAAAATTCAATTCAATTTAATATATACATACATACATATAAAAAATCACAATTCATAATAAAATACTCATATATATATATATATATATATATATATAATCCAATTGGTCAAGGCTTTTTTCTAATGCTATCATACAACCATTTTGGATCCCACTTATGCACCCATTTGAATGCAAGAAAAGGGCCTTTTACAATTTGGATCATGCAATCTTTTGATTTCATCATTGTGTGTTGATGCTCCTTCGTGAAGCTACTTTTTTCAACTCATAGCAGAGCCTTGTTAACTTAAAGTGCAAAAAAATAAAAATAAAGCATGAGAAAGTGCTCATTGGGTACATGGTGTGATGGGATGGGATGTGGGGTTCAACTTAATTATTTAGGTCGTTATTTTGTTTTTAGCATCCTTGAAATTTTGAGGGTGTTGATATTTGTGTGCAGTGGGGGAATTCTGTTCTCAAAGGTAAGAATTGTGAAAAGGGGTTGAGAGGGTGTATTGTCAATGGAGCTTGTGTCCTCCCATTTAGGGTATTGCCTTCAATCACAATATTCAACATGGTTGCTATAAGGAGCCAATTATTACTAAAACAAACATCTTGTTTGTTAAATTTTGGCTTCTATGGGAGTGTCCTCTGAAGCATGATGAGCTCCACATTACATGGCATTGTGCAAACAGGCTAAAATTAACCACAAGGCTTATTCAAAACCAATCTGTGTGACAATTCCAGCAATTCTTAGTTCTTTTGTTGAGAGGTGTATTAATGCAACGAAGGTGAATCACAATTTCAACAACTTATAGTTAATATGAGATAAAACAACATCACACTTATCAATTTCTTTACATATTATGACAAAATATAGAGATGTTATTATTCAACTTGCATCATCTTCAATTGTTAAGCTAAAAATTAATTTTAGTATCAAATTTGATAATTATTCTTTTAAATCTTAATTAATAGGTTATTTAATGGCACATCAACTCTTTTACATTCCTACAAAAAAATACTTCTACTAATTAAGATTAACAATTATACATTAAAATATGTGTATTCATTTGGATCATTCAAACATCTTATAGTGAAAGAAATAAGTTGATATTGATAAGAAGCATTATAATTTTTTAATATTAAATTAAAATATATTATGCAATATCATCTAAAAATGAAGCAAAACTAATATTTATATTTTTAAAATAAAAAAATAAAAAATAATAATATAAAAAATAATTTTGTATAGCTATAATAGAGATTATGTAGCTAGACTATTATGTAGCTAGACTATTATACAACATCATCATAGAAAGATCCTATAATATCAATAAATTCTTTGATTTTTTTTTTTAATACAAGTTAGTTTAAGATCCAAATAAATTCTACCTTTGCCTTATTAGATTCTAATTCCTTTGATTGTCTCTTTGTAAATGAATGACTAAGTATGACATATATTTATTAAAAATATACATAAAAAATTCATAGATAGTTAAATTTTATCTTTTGAAGATACCACCTTAAAAATAAAATAATATATATGCTTGTAAAAATTCATAAAATTTAATGATATTTAATATCTTAAAATCTTTAAGCAATTTTATCATTTGAGATTTTTTTTTAAGTTAAAAATCCTCAATCCTTAAAGACATTCATTATCATGCATTCTTAAATTTCTTCTTAATCTATCTATAAATATATAAATATATAAATATAATTTACTATATTTAAAAAGTCAAATTTTTACACGTTAAAACAAAGGTATTTATACAATTTTCAAAATTATAAAAAATATTTATTATTTATATAGCACCTGCATTCATTCAAATATACATTATAGAAAAATTATAAAATAATTTAAAGAATAGGAAGATATTTTTGACAAACAGATTGTCAATATTTTGCCTAAACATTAGTCTCATGATTATCAAATTTACCTTTACATAAGAACTCAACTGCCATTCGGATCAATTTACAACTTATTTTAAAAACAACCAACCATCTTCAACTAACACATTGATAATAAAAAAAATAAAAATAAAAATAAAAAACAAATTAAATAATTAAATCAAATAAAATATTATTAATTTATTAATAATTTAATTTAAAAGTATTAAATCCTTGCAAATGTATGTAGATTTTTAAGATACTCACCACCAAAAACATTCACCCTCCTGTTTGATATAAGAATAATTTTATCCACTAAGTAAAACTAAGATAAATATTAAAATAGATCTAAAAGGAGTTCGTAATCTGATACATATATATATATATATAGATAGAGATACTTAATAAAATATAATATTTTTTTAATTGATTGATTTAAATACAATATTTTACCTTTTGGAATTACAAACAATTTATGAATTTATTGAATTTGATAAATAATGAAGTTTCTTAATTTTAAGATTTAAATGTAGCTTATTTGAATAAAACTCCTTCTAATTTTAAAAATAAAAATAAAATATTAAAAAAATATATTTTTTATTAACTAAATAAAAAATGAACATAATATACTTATACTTTATACAAGCTAAAACGATATATATAATATTTCATTTCAAATAAAACTCTATAGATAAAAAAAAAATTAAGTTCTGAATAGAATAAATTTGACAATTATAAAAATTTTACATAGTATTTGATAGTGTTTAGGATTTGAAAGCAGCTATGAAGTATATATCAAGAACTTATTTTATTTTGTAATTATACTTTCAAAAATAAAGTTTAAGAAAAATATAGAATGAATTAAGGATTCAAAATCAATAAGCTAAAATTTTAAAATAACTTTTAATATATTTTTTTATTGTTGAAAAAAAGTGAAATTATTTTTTATAAAAATAAACATATAAAATTTGGTATTAAATATAATTTTATAAAAATAGGTACATTTAATAAATTTTATTTTTATTACTTTTTTTCTTAATTTTTTAATTAACAAAGATTAATTATGAGTTTTTTTTAAAAAAAAGAAAAAAAAAATTCTTACCTTAGTCAATTTATTTTAGTTATAAAGATATAATTTTGAAGTTGCATTGAATCTAAATATAACTTATATAGGTAAATAGAACCTAGTATTTTATGTAAAAACTTGAATTAAATTGTTGTCAAGCTTGTTAGATTATATCTTTGTCACAATATGTATTTAATACTATATATTATTCTAAAAATAACATAATTTGCAAGATATTTTGTATAGAAATTTCTATTGTTAAATCTTCATTTTATAATAATTATATGCATCAAAAGAAGTTGTAAATGATAAAGATCAATTAATCATTTTTGAAATGAAAGAAATTATATCTTTCAGTTAGAAATTCAACAATTTTAAATGTTATAATAATTTTTAATAAATAATTTTTTAGTATGTTAACAAACTGGTATTACCAGCAACAAATGGTAGCTACAACTTGTCAACCGACAAAGCGGTGTCAACCACCCATTCTACTTTGTGTTTAATAGGAATTACACACTCTATTAACACTTGCACTTAATGACATATTAGACTAACTCAATTTTATGATGCCCATCATTTCTTTGAATTTATAATATTTTTCACAAGTTAGATCTTTGGTCAAAACATCCGCAACCATGACTTGAGTACCGCAAAAAACTAAGTTGATGTTGCCACTCTCAATCTTTTTACAAAAAAAGTGATGCTGAATTTCAACATGCTTTATACAAGCGTGGAATGTAGAATTCCTTCAAAGAAAAATGCAACTTTGATTATCACTGAAAAATAGTCAAAGGACAGTCTTGTGAAAATCCAATATCTTTAAAAAAACCTTTGAAGCCAAATTGCTATCTTTGTAGCATGAATAACTGCCATGTACTCAACTTTGGTGGTAGATAATGTGACTGTTGGTTGCTTCTTGCTATTCCAACTAATTGCACCACCAATCAATAAGAATGTATAATTAGTGGTTAAACATCATGTATCAATATCTCCTACATAATCTGCATCATAGTAATCAATCACTTGTAAACTCAAAGAGCTTTTACTATATTGTAGTACATGATTTGATGTACCTTGAAGATATTGCAAAATGCATTTCAATGCTATCCAATGTTGTGGGCCAAGATTTGCCATGTATTAGCTAACAACTCCTATTAGATATGAAATATTGGTTGAAGTGCCTATCATTAAATAGACTAAATTACAT